ATGTACCATAATGTCTCATTTCACTAATTTAGCACATGCCTGTTGATACGATGTACCATAATGTCTCATTTCACTAATTTAGCACATGCCTGTTGATACGATGTACCATAATGTCTCATTTCATTATTTTAGCACATGCTTGTTGATATGATGTACTGTTATTGTATCTCATCAGATTACCGAATTTTACAAAGTCGGCAAAATTCTGCAGCGGACAAAGTCCATCGTTAGTGACAGACCGACAGAAACGTGCATGTTGTGTTAAATTTTTACCATTATAGATAATACTTATAAAGTGTTCTGCTGTTTTTGTATTTTCCCATAGTTCAAAAATTAGTCGAGAAGCGTATGGGGGCCATACATGCTCTGGAAGATCCAAAACGTCAACCATCGGTGAAATAGTAACATCATGTGCTGAAAATAACGAGAATTTCACCGATTTTTTGTTGATTATTTGTGTCTCCATAACTTTAAGTATTTTTTCTAGCAGCGGCTGCATATGCAATCCAACATATTTCTGACGAGCTGTGTTAAATCCTTTGTTTGTTACCTCGGCAACCATATATGTGTGATTGATGATGGTCCCAAAATGATGAGGTATATTAACGCAATTTTTGGCTCCACATGGTAACTTCTTCTTGTGACAGATTAGGCCTGTTAGCGAATCTTGTACTTTTGTAGGGTAAACGAACTTGTCAGGTTGAATTTCAAGAATATCTGCCATTTCACTAAGAACTGATGTTAAGTTAATGTTTTTCATGCGCAGTTTTTGCAAATCTTCATCATTTTCAACCATGTACATTTTCATTGCATCACACTTGCAATTTTTATCACAAAAATTCAGCCATTGTGTAGTGGATAGTTTCATTTGAAATCTTGTGAAATCAAAGTCTGGCAGAAAACCGTACAGAAATGCCACTGAACTTTGAACCGTTCGGGCATATGGCGTACTTTCTACTAATAGTTCGTCCCCTGACCATTTATGCGCCGGGAAAAGATTTGTGTTTTTAAAATACCTCTCTTGCAAATGGTTGCCAAGGAGAAGATGTTGCAATGCCCCAAGTGGGGTCAAAGTTGACTCAGCACAGTTTCGGGCATCAGGTATTGGTGTAAATTGTTTGACACCCAGAAATTTATAAAACTGGTCTTTATGCGATCTCATATATTTGACGTACTTCGCTGCTATCGGGTACTCGGTCATCACTTTCTGATCAAATTCACATCCCCACTTGGTATGTTTGTCTAAAAAGTAACCTATTGGGGTACGATCGCCGTGACGAATAACTACAGCCACATTGATGAGTCTGTGACGAGCACTGCCCTCACCTGTAGGAAATGTACCAAATGGTTTACACATGTAATTAATAAAATGAGGTAATTTGCATAAAATACAAATGAACTGTAATGAAACTACTGTAAAAATAGAAATATGTGATGGTGTACGAATAATCATCTGGTTTAAATTCACTCGTCTGTGGTTGAAACAAAACCTTCGAACTTTAACTGTGTAAATCTATCAGCCACAAAAAAGCTATTATAAAACCCAGTGAATGGTGGAGTGTTTATGGTGATTCCTCTCAAATAAATCCCACAATGTAATTTAATTGGATATGATATCTCTCCCACAATGCAATTCAAGGGGATGTGATATCACTCCCACAATGCAATTCAAAGGGACATGAAATCACCAATCCCAATGAATTTAATGGGAATATGATATCTCTCCCACAATGCAATTTAGGGATGATATTTCTCCCACAATGCAAATTAGGGAATGATCCTCCCACAATGCAATTTAATGGGATATGATATCTCTCCCACAATGCAATTTAATGGGATATGATATCTCTCCCACAATGCAATTTAATGGGATATGATATCTCTCCCACAAGGCAATTTAATGGGATATGATATTTCTCCCACAATGCAAATTAGTGGGATATGATATATCTCTCCCACAATGCAATTTAATGGGATATGATATCTCTCCCACAATGCAATTTAAAGTGAAGTGATATCACCAATCCCATAATGCAATACAAGGACATATGACATCATCAACTCACCTTCAGTGCCACTTCCAATTGATGCTACGGGATTGCAGTATTTCTCAACTCTTTCATAAATCTCACGATTACTGATTTGATTTCCTGTTGAGATAAAATACACCTTACCATACATATCAGCTAGTTATCACTGAAGTCATATTTCAATGTTGAGAGCGGGAAAAGATGTATTTTCATTGATCACGAAGAATACAAATGTGACACCCATCACCTTCATGGATTACCATAAACCACTGAATTTTCAATACTAGAAATGTTCGAAAATGTTTGCGATGTCAATTTTGCAAAGCTTTTAACGACAGAATCATCTATTGTCACTATTCAAAAAATAACTTATTTCCAATTGGTTTTCAAAACATTTAATCAATGCATGTAGCTAATGGAAAAATTACGATACAATTTCAAATTTGATTTACAATTTACAAACAATTATAGAAAAATACCGAAAAAAATTACACTACAATTTGGTGGGAAAAATTGTTGCGTTTAAGTGTTTGAATGTCCACTGATAAAAAAATTTCTTCCAAAATTAAAGCAGTTAACAATACTACAAGGGTTTGATTTCCTTCGAGAAATTCAACAACCAGGAAATAAATACTACCGTAGTACATTCAGATACTGCTAATTCTTATTGCATGTAAGCCTTCTGTTATTTGCTTCCATTTTTCAAACTTCTTCAGCGTGAAATTATCTTCATTAATATCTTTAATTGGTAGCATTCATGTTACAGCTGAGTAAACACACTCTAATAATTTGTCTACTCGAAAAGACATTTTGATATTTCTCCAAACAAATCAGCCATGTCTAAAAATAATAACTGGCTTGTGGTTCAATTCATATAAGGATTACCATATCTGCAAGTGCCGCTTGCTCAAATAATAACATACCTGCATATGCGATCTGCTTGCCATCGTTGCTATACAATATTTCAGCCTTATTTTCAGAGATTTCCTGGTATTTTCCTGATGTTGAATCCTTCCGAAATATCGCTGTCGTGATAAAATTATTTAGACATTATGGTGAAAAAAATAAATAAATAAACATGTGGTGAAAGTAATGTA